GCAGATCCATGCGACTACTTGCTTTAAGTAGCATTTCACATAGACTTAACCACAATAAATGTGTGTCGCTTTGTCAGACAGCTCGAAGTGTAAGGTACGATCGTAAGCCTACTACTGCTACTTTTTTTACAATTAATGCAGAGTTGTGTGATAGAAATGGTGATAGGTAGAAAGAACCAAAGCAGATTTACACGCTATAAACTAAATTCTCACATCATTTAGTCGGTGTGACTAAGCATCTCAATTTATGCATGACGGGGAAGATCCTATTAAAGATGGAAAAGTTCAAGGCAACTCACTCTACATCGGGTACCTCCGCTAGTATTATATAAAAGTTACTTATGTCGTTTAACATGCTCAAATAAAAACGAAACTAAAAAAACTCTGTACTAGTCATTCTTGTGCGTGTTCAATAACAATAAAAGATGATGTCATAATTGGTAGCAGTGGTATTGATGATATTAGTACTCATTATCCAATGCACGATCCAAAATTACCAAAAAATGTTTTAAATTGTATCAGATTCGAAATTATAAACAGTGTACAAAGTACTGGCCTCCGATTCATCCTCTTTTCAAGCCAGTTTTCCTCTTTTCCTCTTTTTTCGAAGAATTTTGGAGAAAAGTAAGGTGCGCGCAATGCGAAAGTGTAGCAAATTTGTTTTTTCAACTTATTATGCACCACTCGATAGAGCTGGTTGAGCTGGTTAAGAAAAAGAATTTTTTTCAGTTTCAAAAAATATTCTTCATGTCGAAAAATCGAAAACATTCCAAATCACTGGAGGCTCGAAGACTATACCCATGTAGAAATGGCATAAGTTTTTTTGCGTCGTTACGCAAAAAAAATTCAAAAACACAAGTGGCGTAACGCAAAAAATTGTTACACATGCGAAATTCTGCAAAATTTTGTATATTCTTCTAGAACAAAATTCTGGATTAAAACCCAATATTTACAAAATTCTGCATTAGTCGAACTAATACAGAATTTTGTAAATATTTTGTTCTAGAAGAATATACAAAATTTTGCAGAATTTCGCATGTGTAACAATTTTTTGCGTTACGTCACCTATGTTTTTGCATTCTTTTTTGTGTTATTCACTTGATTAACGCAAAAAAAGTTTTTACTTTTGGCGACATGGATAAGTATTCGAAAAATTGAAATTTCGATCAAGTTTTTTACTTGTTTAGTTTCTATAGTATTTTTCCTGATTCAGCGTTAATGACTACATTTAATAATGGGGTTTTCTTTATTCCGAAGTCAAAGGTCTAATTTTGACGGATGTCCTAATCCAGACCTCTAGAATGTGTATTATGCACATTATAACTGTGCAGTTGCTAAACAGAAACAATTGTGTTCGAAAGTGAAAAAAACAATCCTCTTCTTTCACTTCAAATCCTCTTTCATTCCTCTTTTTTCAGGAAACTGTAATCGGCGGTCAGACAAAGTATGAAACCAGAACAAACTCTCTAATCGAGTATTCCAAAAAGTAAGAGTAATCCGAATATAGACCACTTTTTAAATCTAATTGATACGCGTAAAAAGAAGGAGTCGTCATGAAGGACTCGCAATCATGAAGGAGTCGTTGAAATAAATGAATATTTTTTATACAGAAGGAAGAAAACAGCAGATCTACAAGCATCATCATGCAAAAACTATCATAAGTGCTACGTATTTTTCTATTATTTCTTCGAATCAATTATTTTTCCAATAAACGAGTCTTCGCGGTAATGTCGTGTCACGCTCATTTCGGCAGGAATGTACGGTTGATGTGACTTGCGGCATCTGCGAAGTATAGGCTGATAAGACGAGGCTCATTCATGCCTTCTAAACACATTTAGAACTGTAGAATATAAAGCATTTAGTGCTCGGCCTTTTAATTCTATTATATACATGCCCAAAAAGGATTGATTATAAACTATTTGTTTTTGTCTTTTGTAGTGAATGACAACTAGTAGCACACAAGTTATACATTTCAAAAGTTCCTATTACAAAAGAGTTGTGCAATAACATCACGTTCATCTGCATGAAAAAAAAATAAAGAACGAAAAAGAGTCTTATTCCACATCAGTTTTCTGATTATTTACCCTATCCAAATTAAATACCTACATCCACGATAACATGCTGATGAGGATCTAGTGTCTGTAAAAGTTCTCGATTGAAAGACTTTGTCTTTACAAAAATTTCAGATGATCTCGGTGATACATATGTCCGTCTTCGTCGCTTTCTAACTGAATAAGGTCATCTAATTCTTCAATCATTGGCTCTGCCTGAAATGTAAAATTCTGCTTCTCTCAACTTTTTAAAAGAACTCACTACAAAGAACTACGTACACTTGCTTTATCTGCATTCTTTCTAATCTAATGTAATCAATTAATAGAGAGCACAGGCTTCCGAGGCTCTCATAATAAAAACTTCTTTCTTCATTTGTTAGCGGCAGAGTAACTGAGAAAGCTCATATAAGTCGTCCCTATTTCGTTAAACGCTTCTAAAAAGACTCTTTTCCTAGTTGATGAGAGGATCTTGGCCTCTGCGGTTCTTCTAAACACAACAGGTGTTTTTTCATTAACAAAAAGAATATACATCATCTTCATAGCTGCAACTAGAAGAAGAACTTTTGTCTTCGTCATAAAAGAAAATGAAATAATGTAAAAAAACCTGTTGTGTTTAGAAGAACCGCAGAGACCAAGATCTCTCCATAAATCATACGAAAATCTTTAGCAAACAAAGTGAAGATGAGGATGTGATATGCTACTAGAGTTAATATTATTAGTAACAATACAAGTTGTTATTCAGTCAAGGAGAAATAGAACATTATCTGCTGAACATTTCCTATTAGATCATTTTAACATACGCAAAAAATGGATTCCAAGGCTCATACCTCCCGACAAATGATACAGTGTTGCAAAAGCCTAGTAATGAATTTTGGAAGAAATCAAAACATGACGAATTAAATAGATCTATGATAGGCATACTGTGCGCGCCGTGACACGATGTAGAATATTCTTATCAGCAAAAAACGATTTTTCTGCAATCAACTAGAAAAGAGTCTTTTCAGAAGCGTTTAACGAAATAGGGACGACTTATATGAGCTTTCTCAGTTACTCTGCCGCTAACAAATGAAGAAAGAAGTTTTTATTATGAGAGCCTCGAAAGCCTGTGCTCTCAATTAATTGATTACATTAGATTAGAAAGAATGCAGATAAAGCAAGTGTACGTAGTTCTTTGTAGAGAGTTCTTTTAAAAAGTTGAGAGAAGCAGAATTTTACATTTCAGGCAGAGCCAATGATTGAAGAATTAGATGACCTTATTCAGTTAGAAAGCGACGAAGACGGACATATGTATCACCGAGATCATCTGAAATTTTTGTAAAGACAAAGTCTTTCAATCGAGAATTTTTACAGACACTAGATCCTCATCAGCATGTTATCGTGGATGTACATCTTCCTGTCGAAATGTGGCTGCTCCTTTTCGGAAACTTCACTCTATTAGGTATTTATCAACTATTTTATGGATGGAGCAGACGATTTAACAGTATTTTTCATGATGCAAACCACAGTATGAAATTATCTGTTCCCAATAATCACACTTTGAAATATGAGTAAATGTACTTTTAATCACCAAACAGCTTTAGATACAAATGATCATGAGAAAAGAATACTTTTGATCACCAAATTTTTCAGCATGCATCTCACATTTTTATTTCCCAACAAAGTATTTAACAGTTATTGCCGACTTTTGACCCTTTCCACCAATTTTAGTCTCTCCCTGCCGGCTTTGAACGCATCATCTCCACTTCTCTCCCGACTAAATCGACAAAGATTTATTCAATAAATGATTAAAGAACGTCTTGTTATTGTGAATGTTAAACTCAGTGTGAAAATAAACCAAACAAAAACAAAAAAGAACAGATCAAAGCAGAACGGGCTCTACGTGCCAACTGGGATCGATTCTCGAATTTTGAGATAAGCACATACAAAGATAGCCTGAAGTGTCTACTTTCAGAATACATATGATTTGATACCATATTAATAGCTTTTGAGAGGTTTTCTGGAGACTGGCACCTGGTGACTATTGGTATAAACTATTTATTATTAAAGAGAAGTATATAAATAAACTATATCATGCTATCGAAACGCAGAGCGCTCATTATAAGCATAGTAAAAATGATAAATTTGAATGTTGAAGGAGAAGGAAAGCAAGAAAAAAGAACAAAAACAATTACAACCAAAGAAAAAAAAATGTAAGGAGTGTGCTGTTAGTAAAGGAAGAAGAAAGAAAAGAAAGATGGTCGTTCGATGCAGTGATTATTTATATGTAATTAACTATGACGGCAGACTGATATGTTCACTGTGGTGTTCGGGCATATATAGGAAAATAACGAAGCAGTGTAGACCATTCTCACAAACAGTAACAAGTATAAATGTACGATGATTATGGAAGACGACGAGCAGATGACGTGAATCCTTCTTCACACGATTGGGTTATCGAAATGCTTACATGATCATTTGAGACAGTATACACTTGCTGTTGTTCAGATTCATGTCGCTGCTGTTGCGCAGAATAATACACTAATGATCGAAGCAACTGAAGTTGTTTCCATTTCTTCTTCAGTGAATATCGAACAGATAGATAGGCCAGTGCAAAACCAACAATTATTAGTAATATCACAACAGCAACATCTGGCCAGTTCAAATGAAATTGTTTTTGATGTGCATCAAATATATTTTTGATCTCGACATGTACTTGACCATTCTCATATTTATGAATATTGTTCTCTTCTTTTTTACTATAGAACATGACCAAAGGTAGGAGTACAAGGAAAGGTACAAGATAAAGCTATTTAGCATGTACATAAATATATATATTCAACAGGAGAACTATGCAGTAGGAAGGTATGTATCAACAAGCTATTATTAGTTACTTATAATCTCATACTGGTTATATAAAGAAATAGCAACAGACAGGGCACATTGACATTGTTAATATTAAATAAATGAACTGGAATGCCGCAAGAGAAGGAAATAAGAAATTTGGCGTCTCATAAAAATCTTTGCGTTTTTTCAATGTATTCATTCACAGCTCGAAGCACAACAATCATTGCCTCTTTTTCAATAGTAGAATCATTGAGTAATAAAACATCAACAGATAGCGGAAGACCAAGGTAGTTGATCGCTAGTCGAAGATCTTGCCTAATTGAAATGAAAAGAGCACATTCAAGGAAAAAATGATCAATTGTTTCATCTCCACCACCACAAATACACTTCGCTGAATTACTACAATGCCGTTTAAACAAATTATGATTAAGTTGAGGATTACCTGACTTCAATCTCATAAACAGAATCTCTGCTCTTCGATTCGGGAATTCTGGATTTTTTGGAAATCTTTTAGAAGATCTTTGCGCGAGAATTGTATTCTTCAAGTACTCTTTTAGTTTCGTTGGCTTCATTAATTGCTGTTGCGGAGATAAATTATTCCAGTCGATAGAAACAATACTAAAGAAAGATTTTTGCCTCTCCTCGGTGGATACAATTTGTTGAGAGTTGTTGCTCTTAAGGTTATAGCGTAAATTTGGCTGGTGATAGCGAAGATGAGCTTTCAAATAATCTGCTGTTTGCCCACGTAATATTTTACAAAACACTAATAACCGAGAGATGTAGAAATTATCCGTCAGTTTAATCCATCCCAGTATTGACAAAGCTCGCTCAAATGATGTACCTCTCATGGCTCCTAATACAACTAATGCTGCATGATACTGTACAGATTCGATTTTTTTCAGATTGGTTTCAGTAGTTAACGAGTATATAACAGAACCGTAATTAAATAGCGACAACACAAAGGAATTGTATACAAGTTCAAAAGCATTTTTACATAATAACCACTTATTATAAGACATGAGGGCAACAATCGAATTAGCTGAAATTCTGTTTTGGCTATGCCAGAATGATAATCGAATTAAAATAATTTATTTTATTTTTCCATCGAAATAATAAAAATTAAAAAGTTAACAAAGAAGAAAAAAGGACTTAAAAAAGATTAAAAGATGGCTGGGTTTTTCTCTGTACAAAAACGTTTTCAATACTTCATCAGTTGGCCAGAGATAGAAAATGAAAATGAAAAAAAAAATGAAAAAATTTTAATTTTAATTTTCTTTCTCTGGCCAACTGATGAAGTATTGAAAACGTTTTTGTACAGAAAAAAACCCAGCCATCTTTTAATCTTTTTTAAGTCCTTTTTTCTTCTTTGTTAACTTTTTAATTTTTATTATTTCGATGGAAAAATAAAATAAATTATTTTAATCCGATTATCATTCTGGCATAGCCAAAACAGAATTTCAGTCAATCAAATTAGCACGAGCACAGACTTTATTAACGTGTATTGTCCAGGAAAGATCGAATGTCAGCCACAAGCCCTAATATTTAACTTCCTCATATTCTTCCAGTGGAACAGAGTTTAGCACCAGTGGTTGTAGCGCTAGGGCACGAGTACGGTGTCGACGAGATGAAAATGTAATGCTTTCACACTTCTTCAAATTAAGAGGGATATACCATCTTACCGACCAGCTGCGCACCCGTTCAAGATCTTTATTCAAAATAGCAGTAGCAACAAGTGGATCGTTATGATGGCTAACCAGAAAAACATCATCAGCGTACAATTTAATGGTGCTTTGAATATTCAATGGTAAATCGTCAATATACAGTAGAAAGAGGAGCGGACCCAGCACTGAACCTTGCGGAACACCTTTATCAATTTTCAAGGGACTCGAGATCACACCTTCTAGTATTGTTTGAATCGTGCGTCCAATAAGGTAACTCTCAAACCATTTCAGAGCTTTTCCTTGGATTCCCCTTTTCTCTAACTTAAGCAGCAATCCTTGATGACTAACATTATCAAATGCTTTCTGAAAATCTAACAAAACAGCTCGAACATAGTGATGATCCTCCAAACCAGCGTTTATTTTATGAACAACGTCAAGAAGCGTATTTGTCGTACTATCTTTAGCAATAAAACCAGACTGAAATGGAGACAAAAGTTTATTCTTTGTTAAGTAATTATACAATTGGCGAAAAACCACACGTTCACAAACTTTCGACAAGGCAGGCAGTAATGTGACAGGTCGATAGCTATTTGGATCCAGAGAATCTCCAGACTTGAATAGGGGATTCACAAGGCCTCGCTTCCATTGTTGAGGAAAGACTCCTGATGAAAACGAGTGTTGAAGAATATCTACAAGTGTTGGAGCGATCGATGGCTCAATATTCTTTAACATACGGTTAGTTAAGCTTGGAGCAGCTGCACGATTGCAGTCTAATTTTTCAATAATCGAGCAAACAGAGGAGTAAGAAACAGTAAAAGAGCTCAACTTATAACCGGTTGACGGTAAGGAATCAGCTGCAGATAGGTCAAGTTGTGGACCTCTCCACGTGCATATAGTCGCGAAATGTGAATTCAAGATTTCAACTTTCTTAATGGCATCTGTAATGATAACATTGTTTGTATCATTAAGTGCCGGAATAGATGACAGTCGGTTTCGACCCATTGAGTGCTGGACAAGAGACCACCAGTTTTTAGAGGAAGCCAAAACTTTGTTGTTGATTCCCCGATAATATTCCTTTTTGGCTGTTGCACAAGCTTCACTAAACACTTTTGCTGTCTCTTCATACCGCTGATGAGAAAGATGTGACGGTTTGTGACACATAGAACGATACAATTTGACCTTCTTCCTGTACAGAAAGCGAAGATTATCTGTGAACCAGACCTTATCTCGAGATTTCTGAGCTACAATTTTGTGTGGAATAAATTTATTAATTTGTTCGATAAGAATATCCTCGAATACC